GCGGTCCGTTACCCTCTTCACATAGGGCAGGAAGACTGTACCGAGTAGAGTATCTTCTGTGTGGTTTTATCTGTCTTCCTCTTCGGGTGGAGAGCTCGTCTTACTTCGCTGGGCTTGTAAGGCCTTCTCGAGGTGTTGTAGTTCTTCGGGTATGTGATCGGGTTCGCAAATGCGTTTAGCACGGTCGTAAAGGGTTTTGATCATAGCGCGTTTTTGCGTGGGATGATGATTTGAGTTTTTGTGTAAATAACGATCCGTGAGCATAGGTTTCCGGTAAACTTTATATCCAAGGGAGGCATCTGGATTCCTGTTGACCAAACCATCTAAAAACTTGGATATCATCTCAATAATATCCACCCAAGAATTCAATTTACCATGGAGATGGAAAAAGATAAACAACTCGCGTTGCACGTCTATCTTTGACAGAGAGTATATATCTTTGACATTACAAAACTAAAAGTGAGAGCATGTTCGTGAGAGTGTACCCATAATTATTACTCAGGACCAGTGAAACTCCTTCCGGTGTTCGGTGGATATTTTGTAATAGGAAATTTGATTTTTAGTTCCATTAGTATTGTATATTGTATGTAAATATGCTGATGTGATCGTAGTTGTTGAATAAGTATTTTGAAGAGAATGCATATTGTAATGTATCCTTTGGAAATTTAAAAATATTAAACAATAAATTTTATAAATATTGTTATATTTTATTTTTCTTTGTATGATTTCAGGCCCATGACAACTGAATAAAATAGACAAATGTTGACAATACAAATAATTAGTTTATTGAATTTGCTGGTATTTAAAAACGGCTTCTATTTTTAAAAAATGGATATGAATTTTCAAAGACTAATGAATTGTTTTGTGGAACTTTTGATTTTTTCATGACATTTCCAGGACGTCTTCCCAGTGTTCTTGCTGTTGCCACCTCTTTAGTGGTCTGACTCTATCTCTGATCTTTCTTAGTTTGTACTTCCAGATTAATTTTGCAAATCCGTTGTTCATTCTAGTAAAAGATCTTTCCATCTCCTTTGAGACTGTTCTATCTCTTTTTCTACTAAATACAGTTAATCAAACAATTTGTTAGGTTTAATTTGTAACAAAAGCATTTCTTGAGCAAACAAATGCATTAGCTGTATTTTCTTTTGAATATCCCCAGCCGTAGGCAAACAAAGGGTGCTCTGGGTCTCCAGTTCTATTTAGTAATTCGTATTTCGCGGGTTTTGTAAATAAGGTTCCGAAGCGCCACCACCACTCAAGAGCAAAGCGCTCTTATTCGGTGGAACTTAGAAGCTGTGCTTGTGCTTCTTGGATTTGTTTCATGGTGGAAATACAGGGGTGAGTTCCTCCGACGCATCGATTTTACTCCTTGTGCGCTGCACCAGTTTGCGTCTCGTACTACCACACAGGTACTTCAATAAAGTACAAACATACTCTAGTGTATACACGAAGTAAACAGCGATGTATACTTTGTGATTGTATCTCTTCTCTATGGGCATTTCACGCCCCAGACGCTGGCCGGCATGTTGTAAGGAGAACGAGAAGTGTTGAGAAACATTTTAAAAGTGGTTTAAAATGACAATTTTCAGCGGTAACCAACCAAAATTAACACAATGAAGGTGTGAAAGATGCAATATTTTAAATATATGCTTCTTACATCTTCATGTTTCAATGTCTTGAAACGAGGTGATAATTTTGGTATCTGGCTGCATTTAAAATTTCCGCTAATATAGTGACGCAAACTGTAGTCTGAAGCTCATTGCCTGAAGTCGGATCCGATGCGCAAGAGTCCGCCCTGGTTTATTCCATGCTTCGACGCATAAAGAGTACTCTTCTCTTCGACGACATAAACACGTTTGCTCGTAAACTACTAGGATAGCCGACTCTTTGGTTTTAGGGGCTGCTCTGTGGCTTTCAACGCTCAGGCATTGCTGTTGTGCTTGCGGTGACCAGAGATGGGGACTGATGTGTGAGGAGCGGAAAGAAATAAACAGAATAGTTAACCTAGGTATATTGCCGTGGTCAAGCCAATGTTCAAGTGATTGAACAGGTGGTGAGTGTACGTCGAGGCGACAAACATGAGTTCTGAGCTCTGATTAGTGGCAGTATCAGTAATTGAATGCATCGTATGGCAAGTGTAGGGTTGAAGTGTATTGTATGAATGAATTGATTGCTTTTGACGTAAGTCCCTGAAGTAGCGAGTTTACCTAAGAAACACAAATTAGTGCGTCGTGTGCTTATTAACAGAAAGCGTTTGATGATATTTTCTGAGGTACATTTCGTTGAAAAGCTCTTGTTTCGTGTGTCTGAAGTGTTTTATTGTTAATGAATGTAAACAGCACACCTGAAAACTGGAGTCAGTTGTAAAAACTTAACTGTCACATTGTGTTTTGTTGGCAAAATCGTTCACTTTTTGTAGTGAACCCGTTATTTTCAATTAAATCAAAGTATTTCGTTGTCAATTGCCCATATGTCTGACAATGAAGGCTCTGAAATGGAAGTCGAGGATCAAAGTGAAGATGGAGAGCTGACAAAAAGTCCACATAAGCATTCACCTATGCCACTTTCTAAGGATATGGTTGGCTCATATGGGTAAGTTATGTTTGGATGCTGTTTTATATGAATATTCAATTCTTAAGTTTTGTCTTAAATAAATTTTTTAATAGCATTTCAGATGAAGATGCAGAAGATACAGCAGACTCTCTTGATATTAAACCGCCCCAGGCAACTGTTCTCCATCATCATAAATCATCACGCAGTAGTAGTGGCAGCAAGAGAGAAAAACACTCAGAACGAAGTTCTAGTGGTCGACGAGAACATGTAAGTGGAAGAACACCATGAATGTAAACTTTTAAAAAGAGTAAGCATTGCCACTAATTGATGAATTCTTTGTTATAACCAATTTTCTCAGATAATATATGAGCTAGCAAATTTATTTTAAAAAAATTCCTGTTATAATCGTCAAGAAAATACAAAATTTATTATACATAATGCTAAAATAAGCTAAAAATGCAGTGAATTTTCTCGCTGTAGAAATTAGACTGTGTAGTAGTGTACGTAACTGTTTCAATAATAACAGTAATTTTTAAAAAAAATTTGTTTTGTATGTGTGTTTTAAATTTACCACCATCTTGCACTTGAGATGTAGCAGTAAATTCAATTTTTTACCCCAGACCAATCTTAATGAACTGACTTTTTTCAAAGCCCACCATAAATGAAATAATTTGTTGATGTTGGTATTACTTGGGAAATGGAATGTCATAGTAAATTTGCCATAGAAACAAAAATAGTTTATTCTGAGTAGTGATTATAATATGACGCTTGCAATATGTCATCTTTCAATTAAGATTACTTATGGGGTGTATGTTAGAATGAAGTTGCTGTTTGATTCTCAGAAAGATAATAATTTGCTTGCATGGAAGTTACTTAAAAATAATAATGAAATGGATAATTTAGATAAAACATTGTGGAAATATTTTATGTGCACGTCAGTTAAAGGAATAATTACAGAATGCATTATTGTGGTCTCCTTTTTTGCAACTGTTAAATTTGTGTATCAGAAAAGGGAAGAATTTACTTCTATTAGATATTGTGAAACGGAATTTGAAACGACGTATAACTCTCTTGTTGACAGGAATGACTGTATGTAAAAAGTTTGTGTTTATCAAGATGTAAATTGTTTGTTGTTGTTGATGGGAAAACAAGCAGGGATATTAAGATAAGTGTGTTTTCAAGAGCAGAATGATGACAAAGTTTGTTTCCAGCAGTGTATAAGTGTTAATGTTTTCTTGATAATGGCTCCTGGTAGAAGCGAGACTTTATACAGTGTCATAAAAGAAAAAGTAAATGAAATATTATTATATCCGGTTGCTGAAATGTATATAAAGACTAAGACAAGGATAATTCTTTTCATTTGACTGTTGTTATTCGTTGTTGTTAATTGACTGTTGTGCCGTTTTCTTATTGCCATTTGTAGTGCACATACAAAAAAATATTGGGAGTGAATGGTGTAAGGCAATATAAGTAAAGGTAGTATTGAAAGGCAATTTGGACCTCACTGAAAAATGCAAGAAAGTTATTCTCGTATTAGCTCTTGTTAACTAAATTTACAAATATTTTTGAAGAATATTGTTCTTACAAGTGAAGAACTTGTTTTGGAATTAATTTCTTGTTCATGGCTGTTTACGAATGTGAAATTGGTTATGTTATTTTTATTTTTAAATACCTCTTGATTCTTTTGTATTTTTGAAGAGTAATAATATGACAGTAAAAGGAGAATATATTAATCGATTCCTGACTTTTGGATGTTTCATTGTTATGAACATAACTGTTTTTAAATCTTTCTAAATTCATTGTATTTTACTATTTGCATATGTGGCATGTAAATTTCATTTGTGGGGTCAGCCTTCGCGTGAATTTGGAAAGGTGAGTCCATTCACGGCGGAAGATGATACTGGTTATCTCTCAGAATGGAGTAGTGTAAAAATTGTGTTCGAAGTAGCATCATTACAAAAATTGCAATTGATCTTCTGGAGCCCTGCATTTGTGTTTATTGTGTCATTTAATGGAGACTATTAACTATCGGCTGATAAAATTGAAGAAAAAAATATTACATAACCAACTTCATAAATAAGTATTTGCATTCAGTGTTTTTATAATGTTTAATTGCACTTATTGGCATAATGTTATTTTTACATTTTAGATTCATGGTTCCAAGTCAGAATCACACCGTAAAAGTCACCATAGGTCAAGAGAACATCGTGAACGCCATGAAGAAAGAATGCGAGAGAAACACCATCATAGGTATGTTTTGAGTTTGATTAAGAAATGGGGAAATGTAGATTTAACATACAAAGAAAGTTCTTATGGAAAAACTGAAAGTAATTTAGGTTTGTAATTGGTTTTGTTTTCTGAGAAAGACATAATTTCAGTTCAATGATTAAAACTGTAACAAGGAATGTTCATGTTGCAATGTAGAAATATTGAAATAGGAGAAGGAAAATTTGTGTTTGTATGTATGCAAAACTGTCTACACTAGACCTGTTCAACTTGTTTGTTTATGGGGCAAGCCCGAGCCACTTGGGCTGGTTGAGCCCTAAATGCCAATGTGAGCTTAGTAGTATCAGGCAAGATATTGAACATTTCTCTGAGCTGGGAAAGGGGATTGGGAAGGCTACAGTTGAACCATAATGAATGCCAACATTTGAAAGCAATATCATAGGATAAGTGACTTTAAGGCTAGGAATAATGATTTTGAATTTGTAGGTAATTTTAGACATTGTTAGAGTCAGATCCCAATTGCAGTGCCCAATTGAATATTTGCAGTATGACTCATACCTAAAAAATGCACAGAAATGCGATTGGTTCTTCAGAAATTATGAAAAACAAATGTCAGAAAATATTATGAAGGGTTTTTTATTTTTTAACAATTAAATATAAATTATTCGTTTAAAACAGTATCCAAAAGTTGGACTTGCTTGTCTTACTACATTCTTGTGTAGTGAAGAGACAGTATATTAATGCTGCATGTGCAAAAATTGGTGATTTTCAACAGAAAATCTTATATTGAGGGGCCTTGGTTTTGAGAAAAGGGATACAATTTTGCACTCATAAGAACCTGAGTTCAAATCCAAACTCACAAAAATAGTTTGCTGATTGGAAACGCTTTTGCAGATTCGTGTACTATTATAATATTGCATAGCAGTACTTTTGTAGCACCACTAATTTCATGCTAGAGTGGGTAAAAACCAATTTTGTTAACATGTATATCAATATTAAAAGTGGCATTAAAAGGTTTTTAAAAAAAGGGAAAAAGAATTGATTATCATATTGTAGTAATATTGAGAAAGTAAGTAAAATAACAAAAAGAATTAACATTTCCAAAAGTCATAAATAATACACAATATTTGAATGTTATTTGGAAGTGATTGAACAGAGTATTTGGTTGTATTTATTTCTTTTGCTGACCTCATCAACATCTTAAAAATTAACACTCATTAAAGAATTGGTTCTATTTCTCTCTTAAATTTCAAATTTCAATATTCACATCACATGCCCTTTCCACTAGAAGTTGCTGAAGTTTTAGAATATCACTACCAGTTTCGACATGAAAATGGCCTGAGGATGCAGCTTCTTCTGTTACTTCTTCATAACCGTTTTCAAGGAAGGTTTCTGAACTGATGATTACCCGAAGCTCTCCTTCAGCGAGATCATGATCCTAAGAGTTGCGAAGATCTTGAATGTCTTTTCTGTTCGTCATCAAAGCCTCTGTCTTCAATTTGACCCAATGAAATATAATTACTTCACAATTGTGTTATCCTATTTTTTAGAAATGAAATTTTAACTTGCTTTTGAACAGCCTTGAGCTCCAGAGATTGTTGAGTTGTGTTTCCAGATTATGCTGTTAAAGAAACTGCAATCTGCTTGCTTTCAAAAATAATATACCAACCAAATGACATATTGTTCTTACAAATGTTGAGACTCCTAGCCTTTCTCTTAACACTGATGTTTGAAAATACTAATAGCAAATTGTTGGGGGATACCTGTGTTCTGTTAAACTTGTTGCATTCTGGCTTTAAAAAAAAATCGATTTTTCAGGGAACGTCGTGAACATGGAAAACCAGTGGTTGAACGAGGTGAAAGAGTTTTAGAGGATTTGCGAGAAAGGTTATTAGACAAGAGGCGATCAGAGAATGAGCGTCGAATGAAAATGGAACGCCGTGAGCGGGAACGTCGGGTTGTTGAAGAAGAACCTGTTCAAGTACTGGTCCCACCTCCCAGAGAAACTCCACTTGAAAAAGCAGAGAGACTTCAAAAAGAATTGCGAAGAGAGAGGTTGTTGGAAGCAGGTATCTATTTACATACAAATAGCTCTCTTTTGTTATTATACCTTATTAATAGCCTAGAGTACTTCATTACCAAATGATTTTTGGTCAGGTCCTATGAAAGTGTGGTTCATTGTTCGTGAATGATTAATTTTCAGCATCTTAATCCTGAACTACCCAATGCTTATATCATTTGCTTACAATTTATGTGATTTATAAATGCTATTTTTTAATTAATCGTGTATTTATCTATGCTATTTTTACTTCTTTGCTTTCTATTTTCATAGTATAGAGCAGTAGTGTAATAAAGTGAGTGTGCAACTGGCCACAAAGCATTTAGCCTAAAAATAGGCCCTTTTTTACCTGGGCCCACCCACCTTGCAGGCCCAAAGGTTATGCTACTGTTATAGAGAAAGTATTGTATTGGTGCAGCAGAAAACTGATTTTTCAACAGAAAACTCGTTGTGTTGCTATAATATATAGCTAGTGGTGCTAGAAAATGGCCCAGACTTTCCCATGTTAGTTTTCTATTTCCCCTGGTCTCAGCTAGCTTTGGTCTTGCCACATGCTCTTGGCTGCTACCATCTATCGCCACCCAAAGTACATTGTTTTAAAATTTTCTTACTTTTTTAGTTTTCTAATAAAATGGAAATATTATTTTAAGAATATTAAAGAAGTAATGGGAAGTAAATGGGAATGGCAATTTTCTTTAGAAAAAGTGGACCTGTTTTTAAGAAAATTGGGTTTAAGTGCTACTGTATATTCAAA